GGATGTACGATTGTGCGCGCCCCAAATTATCTGCTACTATGGTCAAATGGGCATACGGAACATTTAACTTTTTGACCATGGATCAAGGCCAAAGTCTTACTTTGCGACACAAATATGAACAAAATAGTAAAATAATCTATTTTTGCAAGTAAACAATATGTTAAGCAAGAAGGAAAAATTATTCAAACCGTCATTCACATTTGGCCACATGAATTTTTTCATCCTTTATTTTTTAAATTTTAACTTTAAATTCCTTATAAATTCAAGTTAGCAAAACTTAATCCCAACCTAGGTTTTTTAGTACATTTTACTCTGAATCAATTACGTGACTGTCGAAACCATGAATAAATGACAACGTGAAGAACCTGAGGCATAAATGCATCATAAACAATCCCATTGATTGGAAAATCCGAGCTGTGACATTTTTCAACCAAACTTTTTAGGGTTCGTTCTGCCTTGACACTTTGAACTATGTGATGTAGTTTTGGTGGTTAAGCTTCTATTTGCCATTTGATATGGTGTCAATTGCAATATTGGAAGTGATTGAATCAAGTCTAGAGGATTTCTTGAGTGCAAGGTGGAGCTTGAATTCGTAACACAAAGGCTGATAAATATCCAAACTTTCGCAAATTTATATTTGAATCTGAGAAAGCGTAACTCACAATCAACTAGATACACAGGTATTGCATTGAAATAAAATGATTAAAAAAGCTTGGTATGTGATCTTAATTTAAATAAAAACATTTGAATCATGAAATCGTGAGGCAGTATGAAAAGTAAATCAAGGTTTAGATGCATAATGTCGGGATGAATATAAGTTAATTATGTGGTATTCTTTAGTAGGGTTCATTGAGTATTTATAAGTTTAATTTATGAATTTTGAAAGACCTTGCTAAATTATTAAGAATATTTAGATGTAACCCTATATCATCTTATCATATGGAAGTAAGTGTTGAATTTGTAGACTTTTATTAAAGAATTATTTACACTAAAAATATGTGTTGATACATGAAGAGATGATTTTTGGGTGGATCGGGTCTTACCTCACCAGCTGGAGTGTCATCAGGTGGGGAAGTGAAACTCCTCAAAAGTCACCTGCTCAAACTGCAAGTAATGCGGGGCTAGATCCCCTGATTCACCTCCGACGATCTAATTAGTTACTTTTCAGAAAGGGTCAAGTTACTGAATTAGATTAAGAGACTCTTACCCTTTTCTCAAGAGTCTTAGGAGTATTTATATGAGAGGGAGAAAGGATTAAGAGGATCCCGTTCTCTAGGGACTGCCACGCCCAGACTTTCAGCTTTACTTGACAGATTGGCGGCGACAGCAGGTCCCATCAATCGTTCTGAACTCTAACAGTTGTCAGACTGTATCTGAACCTGACCATCCTATGACCTGACAAGGAGACAGGGTCAGGGACACGTCTCTGACCCCGGCCTTTGGTGGGGGTCATGTCGAGGTGAGCTCATCCGGGGTCCAACACATCGGGGAGTCGGTCCCTTCGGCGGTCTTCAATAGTAGCAGAAGCGAGGTACGCGTACTTATGAGGGCCAAAATGATCCTTCTCACTAAGCCCCCCAAGCCTCAGGAAAGGCCAGGTGAGCTGTATTTTTCCGGGCTTCCGTACGGATACAGGAGGCTGCCACCGTGTCAGAATGGGCTTAGCGTGAGATGTGAAATAGTGACAGGGGGTGTCAGCTTTAAGTGACAACACAAAAGGACGCGTGAGAGAAGGCCACAAGGGCTGGTAGTCATAAATGAGGAGAGTGATTGTCAGCTTGGGAAACCTAACCGCCTCACATTTTCGTCTGTCCCCTTGATCTATATAAATAGGATACATTTTACCGCAAGCATTTCCAGCATACCATAAAAAAGCATCAGAGTAAATATCCGAAGTGAGTGTGAATTCTCCGAATCGATAGTCTACGAATCTCAACATTTCTTAACCAGTAAGTTCACTTCGTCCTTCCCCTTATCAATATGGCTAGGGTAGTTAGAACACATAAAGAGACAGTGACGCCGGACTTCAACGCAGCAAAGAGGCCTGATTCGGTCGGAGAAGAGGAGAGTTCGTATTCCAGCCTGGAGGAGGCAGCCGAGGAAATTGGTGGGGATGAGCCATCCCAGGATCCGAGCGAAGTGGACTCTGAGATGGTATATGACGACGCCCTCGGGGTTGAGATACCAAGAGACGAGGGGGTGCTGGAGCCGGCCGCACCTCTGGATTTGTCAACAGTGGATTTCGTCTAACTTTCTCAGAACCACAGCGTGGTTACTCTCCAAGAGGCAAACGAGATGATCCGCCGGTACCCCTTCCACCCTCGCTTCAGCATTTATCTACCTCGGGGGCACCAAACAGCCGAGCAGCCCCCAAAAGAGAGAGTTGCTGTCTATGTTGACCAGTTGGAAGCCGGGCTAAGAATGCCCATGACGAGGTTCTTCCAGGATAGTCTAATGTACTGGGGTGTTCGGATCACTTAGTTAACCCCTAACGAGGTTCGGATCCTTATTGGATTCGAACTGCTCTGTCGAAACCAGGGAATAGCCCCTACAGTGACTCTTTTCCGCCACTGTTATACGATCAAGAACAACGATAAAAAGGAGTGGTTTTATTTCGGCAACCGAAACAAGCACGTGCAGAAGTTAGTGGTAGACGCGTCTTCTTCCATAAAAGAATGGAAGCACAATTTCATTTTGTTCCCGTCGATGATTTTCCTAGGAGATTTTGGTGGAGGCCGCCCACTTCGGCTAAGGATTCTTCTCCAGGTCATCACGAAGAGGAGAACTTCCAAAAACTCCCCGGGTCGGACCTCAAGATCAACTGTTGGGCCTACCCCGAAGTGATTCTAGTTAAAGGTGGGATCAGCCGAGCCCTTATCAGCTCGAATTATCCTCTTGACTTCTCTACTAGACTTCAAAAATATCGTATTTCTCGTCTCATATCTTTGTATTTCTTCTTACTTTGATTCTAAGTAGTAATATTTTCGTCTTATGCAATGGTGAGAGTTTTCGACCTGATCACCGCGGGCACTGCTGAAGTCGCGAAGAAACAGCAAAAGAGGAAAGCAACTGGGGAGACCTTGACAGCCCAAAGGAAGAAAGCAGCCACTCCAGCTCATCTTCCCCCCATAACAGTTCCAGAAAGCTCCCAGGGATCCACGATTCCAGAGGGGGTGCCTGCCAGGGGTGTAATCATCGTGGCTCGTCCACCAACAGGTCGGGGCAAGCAGGTTCAAGTGCATGCTCCCGAGGTGCCGATCATGAGATCATCTTTATGGAACCGGCATTTCGTCCAGTCTCAAGAGGTTGGGGACGACAAGAGGCATCCCGGTTGGCATTGGTGCCCGGAATGGGACGTCAGTGTCAACGACCGATGCTTGGATCCCACTGTCGCCCACCACTTGCTAGTCCACTCCAGCTTGCTAAGAGATAACTCTTACGCCAAAAAATTGACCCCGGACGAGCTGATGCAAAGCACCTCGGTAGCGTTGGCTTCGACCTCGACCTTCCTGTCTAAGTTGATGCAGTGCTACACTAATATGCTTGAAAATCAGGCCCCTACCGAGCTGCAGGACAGGGTTTACGTCCTGGAACAAAAACTGAAGTTGGCCGAGGAGGAAAGGAAGCTGGCTGAGGAAAAAAAAACACAGCTCCGTAAAGAACGCTTGGCCGAGATAGAACAGTCCAAGGCTACCGTCAACTCTTTGAAGTCTGCTTTGGAAGAGGAAAAGAAGAGGCGACTTCAGGAGGAGCAGTCAACTCAGGCTGCAATTAACAAGGCGGGAAGCTCGGCAGTAGAAGCCTTCCGCTCTTCTGAGACTTTCACACATGACCTCGGTCAGCTTACCCTGCCCAACTATATGTTTGGCTATACCACGGCTATCAAAGAGGTCACTCCCTTCCTCACTGCAGAGCAAGTGGACTTGTTTAAGGATAAAGCAAATTATAACGAGAACGCTCAGGAGCTTTGCGATCGCATGGCCAAAGGGATTCAAGTTGGGAGGAACCTGGTCGAGGTGCGGGCAGAGTTCAACCGCGAGATGGCGGAATTTGAGGGAGGCGAAGAAGATGGTGGAGCGGCTATGAGGGAAGCCGAGAACACGGGTCAGGGATCTGCCGAGGCTATAGACTCTTAGTAGGGCTCTAAATCTCAATCTTTTGTACTTGCAAACTTTTATACCCGTCCTGAATATTAATATAAATTTCCATTTTCTGTTGCCTCCGCCTTCTAATATCTTGCTTCTTTATTCGTTTACTACTTGTTTGTCCACCTATTTTCTTTAACAACAACACATGATAGTGCCAAGAAAATAACTAAGTACGCAGAATAGGTGTAAGTAACTTCAAATAATATGTAAGTATCACGAAAAATACAATTTGAGATTTTGGGCATGCCAGGTCCTAGGTACTAAGACAGTATCTCGGTAGGCCAATTTACAATATCCATTTTGACTAATCTCGACCACGCGGTATGGCCCCTCCCAATTTGGAGATAACTTGTTCTGTGGCTCAACTCGACTAACCGAGTTCTTTCGGAGGACGAGGTCCCTCGGGATGAATCGAAAATTTTTCACGCGGGAATTATAATAGCTAGTTAGGATATTCTTGTATAGGACCATCCGGGCTGCCGCAGCATCACTTTTTTCCTCAGAGAAGTCAAGATCAGTCCTTCGTTCTTCTTCGTTGGCCTCGACGGCATAGGCCGCTATCCTAGGGCTCGAGGTAAGGAATTTAGCGGGAACCACCGCTTCGGACCCATAGGTTAACGAGAATGGAGTTTCTTGAGTGGCCGTTCTAGGTGTGGTCCGATAGAACCAGAGCACACTAGGGAGCTCGTCTAGCCAGGAGGTCCCAATCTGGTCTAGTCTCATTTTAAAGCCATGTAAAAGTGTTCGTTTAAAATTCTCGGCCTGTTCGTTGGCTTGGAGATGTCCAACCGAAGTAAAATGTTGCTTAATCCCAAGTTCCTCGCACCACGCCTTGAAGGGGTTATCTGTAAATTATTTTCCATTATCAGAGATGACGATTCGAAGTAATCCGAAGCGACAGACGATGTGCTTCCAGAAGAACTTCTGGATGGCTTGGCTCGTGATGCTTCTTAAAGTCTCGAGTTCAACCCATTTCGTGAAATATTCCATCGCCACCACGACATAAGTGTAGCCACTTATGGCCCTCGGGAAGGGTCTAATGATATTTGTCCCCCACTGTCGAAAGGCCATGGCGAGATGATAGGAATCATGAAGTTGGTTGACTAATGATGTTCGGGTGCGTGGTGCTGACATGAGGGACAACTCAGAACCAATGCCTGGGCGTCTTGCGGAATGGTCAGCCAAAAATAGCCAAGTAATAAGGCGAATGATGGCCGACATGCGGCCCGCATAGTCTTTCATGAATCTCCCGGAGGATGTTTCACCCTCTTCGACTGTGACACATCGCAGCCACGGGTCGAAATAGGAACGTTTGTACAGATTGCCACATCGGAGCGCGTATCTAGCCGTTTTGCGCTGAATTTTCTTGGCTTCAGCCTTGTCATTTGGAAGAATTCCTTATTCCAAGAAACTAATGAAAGAGCTCATCCAAGTATTTTCTGAGGTCACTGGATAGACCTTCTCCTCGAGGTACCCTGGTTCAGACAGAACCTCCATGTGAATCGATTTGTTGGGAGTAGAAAACGCAGTGGAGGCGAGTTTTGATAAGGCATCAGCTCGCCTATTCTTTGATTGGGATATCTTTTGAATGTCAAACGATTCGAACTAGGCTGCCAGCTGTTGAACTTTAGAAAGATACCGCTGCATACTTTTCTCTCTAATTTCGTACTCTCCCAGTACCTGGCACACCACGAGTTGGGAGTCACTGTAAACTGAGATCTGGTTGGCACCAAGTTTTCGAACCAACTGCAATCCCGCGATGTGCGCTTCATACTCAGATTCATTGTTTGATGCGGCAAAATCAGACCGAAGTGCGTAGGAGCACGTCTTTCCGTGAGGGTCCTTGAGGAGCAAGTCGGCTCCACTACCATCATTAGTGGAGGATCCATCCACATATAAGATCCACTTTTGAGGTTCAGTCTCAGCCAAAATGACGTTTTGGCTCACAGGAAAGGTGAGCTTGGCCAAGAAGTCTGCCAATGCCTGGGCCTTGATAGCAGTCCGGGACTCGTAGGTTATGTCGTACTCCCCTAGTTCAATAGCCCACTTGGTGAGTCGTCCGGACGCCTCGGGGCGTGACAGAATCTGCCTAACTAGTTGGTTAGTCCGCAGACTTACAGGGTAAGTTAGGAAGTAAGGCTTTAGTCTACGGGTCGCGTGGACTAACCCTAACACATGCTTCTCAGCTCGGGTGTACCGGGTCTCGGAGAACTCGGTTGACGTAATAAATGGATACCTGAACCCCATCGTCTCGAATCAGAAAGGCACTGATTGCCTCATCCGCGGCCGAGAGGTAAAGGTATAAGGTCTCTCCAGGACGAGGTGACGTGAGCGTGGGGAGGTAGTGAAGATATTCTTTTAACTCTTTAAAGGCCTGCTGGCATTCAATAGTCCGGTGAATTTGTCCGCTTTCTTGAGTACCTTGAAAAAGGCAATGTCTTGGCCGCAGACTGCGATAGGAACCGATTAAGGGCGGCCAAGCGTCCGGTCAAGCTTTGCATCTCGCGAGGGGTCCGGAATGAGGATATTTTTTGAATAACCTTCACCTTGTCAGGGTTCGCCTCTGTACCCTACCGAGACACCAGATACCCCCAAAATTTGTCCAAAGTCACTCCGAATATGCATTTCTTGGGATTCAACATCATCCGAGTGGTTCGGAGGACCCCGAGTACCTCCTTCACATCGAACAGGAATGCCGAGATCTCCTTGCTCTTGAGGAGGACGTCGTCGACGTATGCCTCGACATTCCGACCTATCTGAGCTTTGACGATTTGGTTGATAAGCCGTTGATAGGTGGCCCCGGCGTTCTTCAGCTCGAAGGGCATGGTTGTGTAACAATAGACCCCCTGATATGTGTAGAAAGCTGTATTTTATTGATCCTTCTCACTCATGCTTATTTGATGATAGCCTTTGAAGGCATCCAAAAAGCAGAGAACATCATATCCCATCGCCGAGTCGACCAGCGTGTCGATCCTGAGCACTTGGTAACAGTCTTTCAGGCAAGCCTTATTCAGATCGGTGAAATCTACACATTCTCCATCCTCCGGTGTCCTTTTTGACTATTATCGGATTAGACAGCCAAGTGGAATATTGGATTTCCTTCATCATCCGTGCTGGCATGAGTTTGTCCAACTCTTCCATTACAGTCTTGCTGCGTTTCGGGCCGAAATGTCTCCTCTTCTGTCTTACTGGCCGAACTCTAGGATCAACGTTCAGTTTGTGCAGCATAAGCTGGAAAGGAACCCCGACCACTTGTTCAGCAGTCCAAGCGAAGACGTCCTGGTACTCCCTAAGGAGTTTGATCAACCCGCCTTTGACCGGCTCGGGCAAGTTTGTGCCGATGCGGACGGTTTGATTGGGGTCAGCAACAGTCAAGATAATATCCTCGGCCTCGTCTCCACTCTCCAACCTTTGAGGCTTCACGGATTGGTGAGGATCGATGCAGTCTATCGACAAAATGCTAGACCTTCTGCCCTCGGTCCGTGGCTCGGATGTCGACGAGAACGCAGCCTGCAAGGTAGCTAGGTAACACTCCCGCGCGGCATAATCATCGCTGCTCATCTCAGCGATTCTCGCGGGAGTTGGGAACTTGAAATTTAAGTGGTACATTGAGTACACAACTCGCAAAGCGTTCAAGGTGGACCGACCCATAAGCAGATTGTATGGAGAATCGGCCCTGACCACCACGAAATTAATTAGGATGGTTCGGCATCAAGGTTGATGGCCGACGGTCACCGTTAACGTCACCATCCCTTCGGGGTGAACAACATGTCCCCAAACCCCATAAGGGGTATCCTGATTGGGTTGAGCTGTTCTCTTGTCAGTTTCAGATTTTCGAACGTTCGGTAGTACATGCCGTCTACTAAGTTTCCTGGATCCACGTACACTTTCTTGAGATATAATTATTGGTGAGTACCTCGATCACCAAGAGCTCATGGCTGCTAGACGCGGTCGGGACGGGATCACTTGGGCCATACGTGATCACCTCGGATAACCGAGAACTCAGCTCTGTTACGTCCGGGTTAGCCTGCCTGTAAGTTCTCTTTCGGGAGTTTTGGCTATCCCCTCCTGTCGGACCACCGGCTATGGTGTTAATCACTCTAGCGATGTTGGGCCCATATCCGGATCTATGTCCGGACCCATGACCGGTGCCATAACCGGCTCATGACTGGGGAACCCATCTCGGGGGGCCTTCTGGCATCCTTGAGACCCTCTGGGAGGCAACAACTGCTTCTTCGATCCTGCCTGTCATCTCGGCGTTGGTTGCCTCGGCTTTCACGACGAGATTCGCTCCTATTGTAACTCGCATCTCGTCGGACGAATTGTTTGAGATAACCCTGCTTAATGAGACGCTCTATTTCCTTCTTGAGGTCGTTGCAGTCCTCTGTCTTATGCCCGACATTTCGGTGGTATAGGCAGTACAGGTTAGGATTTCTTCTCTTCTTTTTTCCATTCATCTTTGGAGGAGCTCGCCCAAACTCACTTTGATCCATCACTGACAGCACACGGGATCTGCTGGTGTTTAGGGGGGTTAACTCAGCTTCCAAGATCGGTTGCTTTCCCTTGGCAATCCTATCGAAAACGCTCCGGCGGTCACGGCTGGGGCTCTGGAAACCACTGCTATTTTCGGCCTCACTTCAACCTGGCTCCCTCCGCCGGGTGTCCGATCTCGGCCGGACTGCTTGGACCTCTCTTTTCATACGATTAAGATTTTCGGCCTATATGCCCTTTTCGACCTTCAACCAGAGGTCTTGGAGCGTGCGATGATATTTCTTGTGTATCGCGGTGTGAAACGTTCCAAGCACAAACTCGTTAGTAAAGGCAGCTATCGTCACCTGCTCATTGGGGTCGGGTATCTGTACGCTCTCATCTTGAAATCTCTGCACATAAGACGTAAGTAACTTGCCCGGGTTCTGCTATATATTCAACAGATACGTCGAGGTCTTGGTCGTAGGTCTGGAGAATACAAAACGATGGAGGAATTTTTCCACCAATTCTCCCAAGGTGGATATGCTCTTAGGTTTGAGGCCCCAGAACCACTTTCGAACTGTCCCTTGTAAAAACACCGGGAAGGCCCGACAAATGACAGGGTCGGGGATGCAATATAATCGGAATGCCGACATGAACGCGTGAATATGGTCTTTCGGGTTACCTCGGCCATCATAAGATGCTATCATGAGGAGTTTGAAATTCGAAGAAAGCCTCTCCTCGTTGATCTCGTCTATGAAGAGCGGAACTCTCATGTAATCCACTCCGGGCCTCCTCAGGAGCCAAGGATTTTCGTCAGCTCGCCTTCCTAGTAAACCCCACGAGAAGGCCTTAAATAAGGACGCGATTTTAGAAATAGCCTTGGACATGGCTCGTTTCGAGGCGCTCCTAGCCAAATTTCTTCCATCAGATTCTTCATCAGATGGATATTCGGGAGATTCATCTAATTTTCTTTTAGAGGACTCAATTTTTTGTTTGCCTTGCCTCTTGAAGTACCTGCCTAACTCCTCGAAGACATTTGGATTTTTCGCCACAAACTCTGCCATCTTAGCCATGGCTTCTTCGTTTGCTAGCTGTTCTTCTAGAGACCCATGTCTTTCAACCATGTTCTCTTCCTGGGCTGCAGCACTCGACTAAGTCCCAATGGTAAGGGCCTTCCTGCTCCTAGAATGCATGGGTTTCATTCTGAGATGTCTTCGTTCCCACAGACAGCGCCAATTGAAGAGGTGATTTTTGGATGGATTGGGTTTTACCTCACCAATTGGAGTGTCCTCAGGTGGGGAAGTGAAACTGCTCAAAAGTCTCCTGCTCAAACTGCAAGAAATATGGGGCTAGATCTCCTGATTCACCTCCGACAATCTAATTAGTTACTTTTCAGAGAGGGTCAAGTTACTGAATTAGATTAGGAGACTCTTACCTTTTTTCCAGGAGCCCTAGGAGTATTTATATGAGAGGGAGAGAGGATTAAGAGGACCCGTTCTCTAGGGACTGCCACGCCCAGACTGTCAGCTTTACTTGACAAATTGGCGGCGCCTCAGCAGGTCCCATCAATCGTTCTGAACTCTAGCAGTTGTCAGATTGTATCTGAACCTGACCATCCTATGACTTGACAAGGAGACAGGGTCAGGGACACGTCTCTGACCCCGGCCTTTGGTGGGGGTCATGTCGAGGTGAGCTTATTCGGGGTCCAACACGTCGGGGAGTCGGTCCCTTCGGCGGTCTTCAATAGTAGCGGAAGCGAGGTGCGCGTACTTATGAGGGCTGAAATGACCCTTCTCAATACACACACTTACACAGAGTCACATCCAAGTGAATAAATCTGCCAACATCTCAGTCCAACCCTAAACGCATTGAAGGTTGGCAGGCAGTGGCCATTATGAGTTGGTCAGTCAACCATATTTTGATCTTGATTTCGTATAATCTAGAAACTCCGAAAACAGCTCTTCCTAGTCTCTAAGACTCAATTGATAAATGAAACTTGTTGCTAGTTGACGAAGTATTATCTTAATCTTTATTTGTCTTTATTCTCTAAATTTGGAGTTGCAACATCTCACCAAAGCACTTATTCGTGAACATTTGTTGGACCAATTATCTTCAGGAAAGTCTTGTGCTATGGGACTTTAACCAGTTTTACATCATAAAAAGAAAAAGTAATCAAAGCCAAATTTTGCTAGGTTCATGAGTAAGGATTAGATTCCATATTGAGTCGAAAGATAAAAAATGAGCACTTAATATATAAGTAAAGGTTCAAAACCTAAAAGTTTAAGTTTTTTAAAAGAGCACTTAATATGTAAGTAATGGTTCAAAACCTAAAAGTTTAAGTTTTTTAAAAGAGCACTTAATATGTAAGTAATGGTCCAAAACCTAATAGGTTAAACTTTTGGATCAGAGTTGGGTTCCTAACTTACATATTGAACTTTTAGTGGATTTTCTTGAGGTGTTTCTCCCTAACAAATTTGTCTGTAGTGAGTACATCTTAGTCCATTCTATGTTGGTGGAAAATCGTATCGAGGTATTACCGTTTCGATTATAGCTCAACTTTTATCAAATGGCAAGACTTCTAGGTTATAACTGAAAAAAGAAGAGATAAAGGAATTTTTTTCCAAACAAATTTTAGAGAAACTTGAATCCTTGAAATTATTGCCTCTTTTTACCTCATTTCCTGTTGGGTTATATTAGCAACTTCTTCTTCTAGTTAAGTCAATTTATCCTTATAATAGGTGTAGGGTTTGATACTAGGGACAAGTCAATTTACCCTT